AAATACTTAAGAAAATTATAATTCTTTATTTTAAAAATTATTTAAAATAAATTTCAGTTTACCATCCAATCAATCTAAGGCATAAATTATTTAAAATTTCTAAAATATTTAATTATTGTAAATATTGATATGTTTTCATAAGCTTCTGAAAATTTATTATTACTTATGTATGTAATTTAGAATCAGACACTTTAGTTTTTATTTTTTTCGTTCTAAGCACAAAAATATTAAAATACATAATCTTACTAAGATATACTTATATTTTTAAGATAACAACCAACATAAATGTAAATAAACACAATTAATCAAAAATTTAAGATATTTAGAATAAAAAAGATTATAGTTGAATTCAGAGAAATAGATAGAATCCAAAAAAAAAAAAAAAATATATATATATATATATATATATCCAAATGATAAACTAACTAAATATAATATATCTAAAATTATATATAACTAAAATAATATAATATTATTAATATAATTATACATAAAAACTATAAATTAATATAAAAGTTAAAGTAAATATCAATCAACTATTATAATATATTTATTTTATAAATATTTATGCCCGTGTATGAGCACGGGAAAATCACCTAGTCTTAATTAATTATAATCTGTCTTTATTCAGTTGAATGTATATAGTTTTTCGTAATGGCCCAATTTATAATTTTGGCCCAATAAAAGTCTTCTCGTTGTGGCCCAATAAAAAGCTCAACGTTGTGGCCCAACAAAAAAGCTTTCACGTTGGAAACCAAAAGACGAAGACGAACTTTATTATTATTCTTGCTAAAACCTCTTTGAACATTTCGCAGACTCGATTTTCTCCATCTCTATTAAATTTCATTTTTTCTCTGAAGATGGAACTTGACCCAGAAGATGTTTTCAGAGATGAAGACGAAGACCCAGAAAGCCAATTCTTCCAGGTTTTGACTTTGCTTCTCTCTTTCTTCGAGTTTCAGTAGACAAAAAAACAAAAACCCTAATTGCTGTTTGGTTTTATTAAGTGTTTATGTTCTGTTTGATTCACAGGAAAAAGAAGCTTCCAAAGAGTTTGTAGTCTATCTAATCGACGCTTCTCCCAAAATGTTCAGCTCCACTTGCCTCTCTGTAAGTTTATATATATAGACTAATAAAAAAATCAAATCTTTCCCATTGTCTGTGTTTGCTACATTTTTTTTTTATTAACTTGAAATGTTGACAGGAAGATGAGAAACAAGAAAGCCATTTTCACATTGCTGTTAGTTGCATTGCTCACTCACTCAAGTCTCATATTATCAACCGTTCCAATGATGAAATTGCAATATGCTTCTTTAACACTGTGAGTTCATGGAATAAAACAGTGTTTTGTTTTGTATTGTTTTTTTTCTCTTTTTTTTTTTTGTTTTATTTACTTTGATTTTGTTGTCAACTTGCAGCGTGAAAAGAAGAATCTTCAAGAACTTAATGGTGTTTATGTCTTTAATGTTGAAAAAAGAGAGGGTCTTGACCGTCCAACAGCTAAGCTGATTAAAGACTTTGATAGCATAGAAGGTAGTTTCTTGGATGCATTTTTTTTTTCTACACTTTTATTTCCTACAAGGTTTTAACCCTTTTTTATAATACTTCAGTATACTATTCGTGTTCACTTGAATACACCATAAGACATTAATGTTAGAATTAAAATCTAGAATGGTTGAGCAAGCTAATGGTAGATGTCCAACCGATTTGTGCTGAACGAGAGTTATTTTACTTTGCTGTTGTTTACACATAAAATATCTAAGGGGAAATGTAAACTGTTTATTTTGGGCGCAGAGTCATTCATGAATGACATTGGCAGTAAAAATGGTATAGTCTCAGATTCTCGGGAGAATTCTCTTTATAGTGCTCTCTGGGTTGCACAAGCACTACTGCGCAAAGGGTAACCGATCTAAGTTTCATTTATGGATTTAGTGGCATGTTTGTGATGTGCATAACAATTTGGTGTGTAACCTGATCACTGTGTTCTGTAAATATTTTTTTTTTAAAAAGATCTTCAAAGACAGCAGATAAACGCATATTTCTGTTCACTAATGAAGATGATCCGTTTGGGAGTATGAGGATTTCTGTAAAAGAGGATATGACAAGGACTACATTGCAGAGGGCTAAGGTAGTTTACAACGAAATCTATTCAAAAGAGAGCTTTTTGTTAATCATAGAAGGCTTAGTGGGTTAACACTTTTTCTTCCTTTTGGTGATTCCTTAAGGATGCGCAAGACCTTGGCATCTCAATCGAGCTTCTTCCCCTCAGTCACCCTGATAAGCCGTTCGATATATCTATCTTCTACAAGGTTAATCTTTAGCCACCTAATTCTTGACTTGACCTCAGAAACTTGGAGATTTAAAATTTTCATTGATTTTTTTTGTCAACATATTTTCAGGATTTAATTGGATTAAATGGTGATGAGCTTACAGAGTTCATGCCATCAGTCGGACAGAAGTATGTTTTTTTTTTTATAATTCTTTATTGCCTGTTAAATTGCCTATGAGTTTGTGTTATTTGTCTTTGATAATGTCACTGGCTATCTTATTATTGATGAAATGCATCTATTATTATCAGGTTAGAGGACATGAAGGATCAACTGAAGAAGCGTGTACTTGCCAAGAGAATAGCAAAAAGAATTACGTTTATGATATGTGATGGTCTGTCTATTGAATTGAATGGTTATGCTTTACTCCGTCCGGCTACTCCTGGAACCATAACCTGGCTTGACTCCACTACTAATCTTCCCATAAAGGTAATGTGACAGAGATGCTTCATTTAGATTGAATTCTTTCGTTATGAATCAAGAATTTTACTTGACATCAAATGTTTGCTATTTAGCTATCTATCAGATCTACCTTTCGTAGATAAATGTTTTGGGTTTTAAACAACAGTGCGGGCTTGTCTGCAGGTGGAAAGATCATATGTTTGTGCGGACACTGGAGCGATAATGCAAGAACCTATACAACGGATTCAGCCTTACAAAAAGTAAGCGTCTGAATAGCACAACCTGATTTGTTTCTGGTTTCCTCTAACCAAAGAACCATCGCTCTCTTGATATAAAAACATTTTTATGCTCCTCTCTTTCTTGCTTAGTAGGAGTTGGCTTTAACTTTCTTTTCTTTCTTTTTTTTTTCTAGTCAGAATGTCATGTTTACAGCGGCAGAGCTATCCGAAGTAAAAAAGATAACAACTGGACACTTAAAACTACTGGGGTTCAAGCCTCTTAGTTGCCTCAAAGATTATCACAATATGAAGCCTTCTACATTTCTCTATCCAAGTGATAAGGTTACCTGCTTCCCAAAGATTATGTTTATTTTGCTTTGTTGTGTAACGTGGGAAGTCTTAGCTTTTGATAATTTAACTGATGCAGGAAGTTATTGGGAGCACTCGTGCATTCATTGCCTTGCATAGATCCATGCTACAGCTTGGACGGTGAGCACATTTCATATATGTAATTTTATGAAGTTGTCGTCTACTCTGCATTTCTTACAGTAGTATACTAACCTTATAATCACTGTATCCTCTTGTGTTGCAGTTTTGCTGTTGCCTTTTACGGTGGCACGACACCTCCGAGATTGGTTGCACTTGTTGCTCAGGTGAGAAAACTATTCTAAAACCTTTCTTCCACATAATTAGTTTTATCTTTAGCTTCTTTATGAATGGTGCTTTGTTCAAGAACTTACTCAAATATATTTTCTTAAACCTGAACAGGATGAAATCGAGAGTGATGGTGGTCAAGTGGAGCCACCAGGGATAAATATGATATACCTTCCATATTCTAATGATATTAGAGACATCGACGAGGCAAGAATGAAGAAAAGCCTTTGAAAAGTTACTAGATACCTGACTTTTTCCATGTATGTTAAATTCTGACTAGTTGGTGGATATTTGGTCAGTTGCATTCGAAACCTGGTGTAGCTGCTCCTCGAGCATCAGAAGACCAGCTTAAAAAGGCATCAGCTCTAATGCGACGTCTAGAGTTAAAAGACTTTTCTGTTTGCCAATTTGCTAATCCCGGTATGTTCAACTCACAACTAGTCTTGATTCTATTAGTTGTTCTCAGCTTCTGATATTTAAAACCCTTTCATATATTGTTACAGCTTTACAAAAACACTACGCTATCTTGCAAGCCATTGCATTGGATGAAGAACAGCTTCGTGAAACTAGAGATGAGACTCTTCCTGACGAAGATGGAATGAACAGGTTGCAACCATTTTCTTAATAAACTCTTTTATATAATTCCAATTCATAAGCCACACAAAAAAATGTTGGAATCTTATCTAGTGAACCCTTTTTGCTTGCAGACCTGGAGTTGTAAAAGCAATAGAAGAATTTAAGGAGTCTATTTACGGTGATGACCCCGAGGAAGAAAGTGATTCTGGGGCCAAGGAGAAATCAAGAAAGCGAAAAGCAGCAGATGCAGGAGACTATGACTTTGTAGAGCTTGCAAAAACCGGCAAGGTGAAAGCAAAACATTGATTTTTGTATCTATCTACTTGAGACAATATCTTCATGGTTTTGTTTAATCTGTGTAGCTCAAGGACTTGACGGTGGTTGAACTGAAGACTTATTTGACTGCTAACAATCTTCCTGTCGGCGGGAAGAAAGATGCTCTCATCAATCGGATTCTTGCTCACGTTAGTAAATAACCTTAACCGTGATTTGTAACTCCGGCTAGAGAAATTACCGTTTCAGTTTTATGTATTATGAAGGTTGTTGGCTTTTGATGAGAACCGAAGCTGGTTAACTTCCGGTTTATTGTTTAACGTTTTGGCTCACAAACCTTTTGGATTTCAAGTGTAATGGTGTTTCTTTTGAATATACACAAACGAGCTTTTCTCGTCTCTTCCTTTTTACCTTTCTAAATTTCATTGTTTGGTTCTGATGAAGTTTGAAGGGTTCCTTGGAACGTCTTTAGGCAATTTCTATATGGAACCTACAAAAAAAATTAACATCTCATTCTCAACTACTAAACCATAAATGATGTGAAAATTGGGTATGTTGTTCTAAGTTAAGACGCAACAATGTTATAAAAAGTCACATTGGTGCTATTCACATGCTGATGGTGAAAGTAACGTAGTTTACAAGTTTCCGAACAAACCTAGAATAATGCAAATTTACCAAGATTATTATATTGTATGTACAACTAGTGCATGATAATGACTCAGCTGAACTATTTAAACTAAGCTTGTAAAACGTATTTTTAGCATATTTGGAACCAGGTTTATCTGACAACACAAGTCAACCTTTTATATAACATTAATATGCTATAAAATCTATTTGTTTAGCATAATTATCCAGTGTTAAAAAATAGAGTTTAATTTGTCACCTCCTAGTTTTGGATTATACTTAACATGTCAGACACATGTAAAATTTTATCGAGTCAAAATCATCACTCATGATTTTTTTCAAAGTTGATGGCACGTTAATCTAACATGATGTTACATATGAAACTCATAAGATTCTCTTGCTTTCATGGAAGAAATTCGGGTTTAACAATACAAGTACATAAAGATATACTCTCTCTCCGTGTTAAAATGTAAGAATGTAAGATGTTTAACATTTTACCAAAAAAAAAAATGTAAGATGTTTAAAATTCTTTTGGTGCTTTAACATGTCAAATGTTCTTATAGTTCTATATTATTTTTAATTTTATCAAAGTTGTGTAGTCAAGGATATTTTATAGTTTATTATATATATGAATGATTGTTAGTAATGATAGTTTTGAGGTATAATCTTATATATTAAAACAGAAGTCATGACTTGACTTCATGTGTGATTTTTTAAAAAATGAACTATTATTAGAAAGTTATGTTACATTAACTCTCTAATAATCTTATTATTATTATATCTTATGAAAAATCATATCTATAATAACAAATATACACTTAACAATTTGATTTTGGTAAATTACCCCACACCTTCCAACTTAGTCACGCAAAATATGTCAATAGATATCATATAAGTTTAGAAATCTTTTATTATTTATAAGGAAATATGTCAATAATAGTTAAATGCATCCACAATATTTTAACAAAAATCACAGATTAGTAATATAGAATATTTATATACCCTAACAAAATTTACACGCTATATATATTAGATAAGTTTATTTCGATGTAAAATTTTAAAATTATATTGTTTAAAAAAAAAAAAGAAATTCTTTAAAAATTCTTTTTTAATAAAATTCTTTATAATATTATTTTACGAAGCTATAAGTTTAGTTTTTAGCAAAAATTTCTTCGAAGTTTATGTTATCTTTGCAAATTAAAGTATACTAATATTTAATCAAGCTCTATTTATATTATTTTATCTAAAAATGAAATACTAATCTAACAAACAATAAAATATAGAAGAAGAAACAAACACATGTTTGAAAAACATGTATAATATAGAAAATTTGAAACAATCTATTTGATTAAAACACTTATTATATAATATTATTATGTTTGAAAAACATTTACTATACATATCGTAAATATGTGATTACTATAATATATATCAATTTACAAATGAAAACAAAATGTTTATATAACTAATTATAAACGAAAACAAACACCCACCAGCGCGATTGCGCGGGTCAAAATCTAGTTGTTCATTAACATAAAACATCATGCATTTTGGAACTGATAAAATATATAACATGCATTGAATGTGTAAAAAGCGGCTCCATCTTAGTTGGTTAGTCCGTCAGTATACTTATTAAGAAAGTACAAATTAAAGAGGAAAGCGAGAGAAGAAGCTTCATGACTAAATTAGTCCTTAAATAGTGTAATCCCTGAGAAAAGCAAAAATAGTGTTCCGTATATTATTGCATGTCTATTTTCATTTTCATTTTTTCTCTATTTTGTCTTAAACTCTGAATCTATTCATAGAAGAAGAAAATGTCAGCAGGACAGAGGAAGACGTCTCTTACGTAAATAGACAAATAATCATAGATTATTGTCAATTCATAAACTTTTTTTTACAAAGGTACCAAAGCAAAGCTTAGTCAATTTAAAAGCTACAGGCTTATAACTATTAGCTTCCTTACTGATGAATTTAGTTTACGTACGCAAACGCAACCTATTTACATTATCTCGATTATAGTGGGCACTAGTCAAATGTTCATGTTTATGTATGTGTGTAAACGCATGGTCCTGAATCTTTCTTCTTTTGTTAAAAACTTGTCTCTTAAAATATTTTGTAATAATATATATAGTCTTTGGACTTGATTCAATTCGTTAACTTATACTGCCCGCTTAACTATTAAACTATTAAAGAAATGATGTAATAATGATGGTCACAAATAGATTTTGTAAAATATAGCACTCGAAACATACAAAATTCATGAACAATATCATTTGAAAAGGTATATTTGCAGTTTCTAAATTTCTTTACACACATGTTCCACACCATATGCTAACACACATAAACAGATTAAAATTGTAAAATAGTGGTTTTATTACTCAACTACAGATCATACATAAACACATCTATTACAATAGTCTAACACCATATCGTTTTATGAAGACACAAACGCAAACATTCTTCATTAGACGAATTACAATATATGATAATATTGTGACATGAAATCGACAATATAAGTCGGTGATTTAATGTGCCTAGCTAATTACCAACGCCGGGGCTAGGGACCGATCCTAGTTGACGGTAAATCTCCGGCGAGTGTCCCTGCACCATATGCTGACCGGAATAATCCTTAGGCGGAGAAGTGTGACCCTTGTCGCTTGGACCCGAAGGTGGCACATTGCCCTTTGGTAAAACACTAAGAAACAATCCCTTGCTTGCGTCGTAAGGCGTTAAAACCTTTCTAGCTTGACAAGACTGCGAGACAAAACCTACAATACAAAGCAATAAGAAAATAGTTGAAATGGAGATCCTTGGATGTGCCATTTCGTATAACTGGTTCGATAACATTAGAGATTAATTATTGAATGAATAAATAAAAGTCTTGGATTTATTTTTTTGGATTTAGTAGTATGTTTCTGTGTGAATGAATGATAAGAGTGGATCTATATATAGAGACAGAAAAAGTGTGGGTCTAGTTCAATGGTAATTAAGGGTTAGGTACATATGAACTAAGCTGGTCATGAGTTCGTATATATACACAATACAGTGTTCATGATTGCAACTAGTTGACATATGTGTTTGTGCTCTTGTAACTCCAAGAACAGCATACATTTCTCACCTTTCATTTTCTGATAGTATATAGTTAGAGTGTTAAAAAAAAAAATATAGTTACAAAACGTAAGTAGCATTTTGGTATTATTATTCCGCATATAATTTAGCAGTAATATTACAATAGGAAAACTGAGTTTTTATGACACAGAAATGTATACTTCATGGAGAAACACAATATTCACACTTTTTTTTTAACTTTCAACATTATAAAGCAGAAGAGAAAAAATTAAGAAATTTGTTTTCTTTTATTAAGTTGTATTTTCTTCATATTCATAGTTGAAAAGTTATTTTAAGATATAAAATATTATTATAAATGTAAAAAGGAAAACACAAATAACAAAATTTTGATCCAATAAAAAATGTTTTTGTTGAACCAAGTCAACAAAATCTTCCTCCAACTTGAAAAAAATGAAAAGATTAACAACGTATATCACGAAATAAGAAAGAAATTAAATAGTGAAATTTAACAAAGCACAAAGAAGGCAATACCGTAAGAACACAAAACTTGGCTCAACTAGCCCATGACAACTTCACACCCAGTAGAACGTTTTGGAATCGATTTGATTTGATTCATGATGGTACAGAAACTCTGCCTTAGAGTCAGTTTCTTGAGAACTGCACCATTCTCTAGGAAGTATTTTGCTAATTTCATCTTACTTGATGTTCCTCTGGGTGGTCTCTCTTTCTTTCCCATGTCTACACCGTCAAGTGTCTTCAGCTGAACAAACTCAAGAGATGAATGGAAACATTTTGGTACTAATGAAAGATCAACCTGCTCCGTCTCTGGAAGAAGTTCAAAGTCCTGATATACAACCCGAGGAGGAGTTTTGAGTTAGAATTAATATATCTCCGTAGAAATCGCCACAGACCCCAAAATCTCAGGACCGGTCTTGAACATGAGTAAATGAGCGTACCAGAACTACAGAGCGTAGATTTGGGCAACTTTCAAGGAGGGCTGGCAACATGTCCCACAAAGTTTCTTGGAAGAAAGCATCCAATGAAGACAAGTTGGAGAACTGAGGTAATTGTTCGATTTCACAGTAATCACGAATAACCTATGCACAAAAAAAAGACATGAGTTCACTGCGAAATATGATTAAAAATGATATTTGAATCAAACCATGTATATACATACATTTAGAGTGTCAGCAGAGATGATCATGTCGTTGACTGTAGATAAACCGGTTAGAAATTTACGGATCATAGTAATCTTGGAATAATCATCTGACTCCAGTGGTTCATCATATTCCACATTAAAGATAACATCAATGTTTACCTTTGCAGATGGACCAATACTGTGTATTATGAAGTTCTCAGATCTGTGATCACCAAGAATCATACACTCAAGTCTTGGAGCATCAACTGCAACAACATGACCTTCACATTCGTCATCACGTTCACAATCTATTTTGAATCTCTTTAGTGACTGGGAACGCACACACACAGCTTCCAGAGAATCATTGGGATCACGTGATATGGTTAACTCCTCGAGAACAGGACAGCTTGATATTAAAGTCTCTAGAGTCGAATCACCATCGTAGATGACCATCTCTAGATTCATGATCTTGAGACAAGGCAAGGATACAGATTCTTCAGGATGATCCAAGAACACACGGTAGAGATCTAAGTTGACTAATCTCTCACATGAATAGATAGATGGAGGCATCTTGACTAACTCATCATCGTCTACCTCATTATGAACATCAAGATGACGAACTCTACGCCTAGTTACTGCATCGATCCAAGACTTGAAACGAGATGCATCATGCTCAGACACCTCATAGATCAGCTTGAATCTCTCCAAGTGTTGCTCATTTTCAGAACATAGAAACCTATCCATGAAACTCGCAAAGACATCATCATCTATGAATTTTCTGGAATCTAAGTCCAGTGCTGGAACATTTAGCCAGAGGTTTCTCCATCGTTTTGATAAAACGCTGGTGCAAACCGATTCCTTGGTGGGAAAGTCAGAGAGTATCTTGCATAGCAAGGAATCAGGTAGATTGCTTAACCTATCGAAGTTCCTTTGATTCTTCTCTTTGACAGTGGTTTCACCATCCATGACTAATGCCTAATTCTGAGATTTAACATGTAAATCAGAAAACTTCTCAAAAAGTCAACTCAAGATACAGCCAAATTGGAGATTGCAAAGTTAGCAGAAAGTCAACGCAAGATCTCCATGAATTAAAAAGAAAGAAAAAAAAAGAAAACAGGAGATGAGCTATTGAAATTACCTTCTGAGTAAGAAACCACCGTAACGGCCCAACTTCTCCGGAAAAAGAAACTCTCAGTTCGCCGGTCTGCGTGAAGATTGCTTTGATTTAGAACACAGACATTAATTTTTTTTTTTTTGGTCCAAAAAACACGGACATTAATTTAAGAAGCGGCATTTTATCATCGCACTAACCATTGATTAATACAGTGATTTATTTATCAGATTATAATACGTAGCACACATGTCACTGAACGTTAAGGGTAACACTATCAACATCACTCACGCACACGACAGATGAACGGACCAAATCTCAGCTTATAATCACAGTTTATACTGAAAGTGAAAACAGTCATGTGATATTGAACGACAACTCACACGTGATAAATTTTCTAAACAATGCAAAGAGTTCGTTGAAGATTTTGATAGGATTTAGATCAAAATAATATCTGATCTAAACATGGCTGGTTCTGAGATCTGGGAGCTTGAAATATCATTAAAGAAACCTGGAAACAATCAAGAGTAAAGTGTAAACAGTTTTTTTGGTCGAATTAATTTAACACTCTTTCAGAATAAAAAGAAATATCATTAAAGAGTTTTACTAAAATTTGTTTTTCAAAATTTGGAGATATATATTCTTGAGTCCCTATATTCTTTTAAAAAAACTTTCAAAAATTTTGGGATCAAAACCAATGTTTCTCTGGCATATACCATAGAAGAAAAAAAAAAAAAATCTGAACGAGATTCATTATGCTACGTATGCAAGGGGCAGCTGCCATCATTAAGTATAAAATTAAACTTATATGCATTTTGATATTGTTCCAAAAAAAAAATGCATTTTGATATTGATCTAAATCCTATCAAAAAATTGATTCAGAAAATATAAAAAAATATTTGCAGCTTAATTGGTTAAAACTTTTTTTTGGTTTTATATTTATGCCGTCACTCAAAACTATTTTATAGAACTTAAGTGTGTTTTTAATAAAATAAATATAATTATAAATGGAAAAAGGAAAACACGAATAACACACATGATCCAATAAGCCTTGATGATCAACAACATACATCACGATTCACGAAATAAGAAACACAAAGCTGGCTCAACAAATCCATGACAACTTCACACCCCTTGGAGCATCTTGGAATAGATTTGATCTCGTTGATGATGTTGCAAAAGCTCGAACTTAGAGTCAGATTCTTGAGAGCTGCACCATTCTCTAGGAAGTACTTTGCTAATTTCATCTTACATGATGCTCCCCTGAGTACACCGCCATGTGTCTTTCTGTTCCAGGAAATAACCAACGGTCTCTCTACAGAACCGCCGCTTGCAGATCTCTTCGCCTGGTTCCCTCCCCCGACTCGGGTCGGCGGGACCGCCTAACCTCCACACCGGAACTACTACAACGGGATTCCGTTTCAGACCGAAGAAAATACCTCAGCTTTCAACAAAATGAAATTCCCTCCACCCTCTGGAACGTAAGAAGACCACCACCTTCACAGAACAGAGTGGGATCTCCCTCCGTCTGTGGCTCTACTTTGGCTACCTAACTGCCGAACCCAACTCTTGCAACGTATCTGGTGACTATCGGTGGTAAAGGATTTTACAGCTGAAAATTATGGATCTTACTACTGTCATGGAAAATAGAAGATATTCTACAACTGAAAAAGGGAAAGGTATGGTCTCGGACCCCTACAAAGCCATGAGGACTGTTAAGCTAGATGGCCTTCCAACTTAAATCCTTAAGTTGGAAGGCCATCTAGCTTAACATGCTATCAGAGTACACGATCCACGCAGTCCAACCTGATCCTTATCGATCTAGCCCAAAGTCGGCCTATCGATCCTTGCCCGAACATTCCGAGATTGATGCCAAAGAGCCATCATCTCGAAGGGGCATATTAGGGACAAAGGTCTCACATCGGAAGTTGGAAGGGATTCTATCTAGTATATAAGATAGATGAGTCAATCAACTATCACCAATTGGTTTTAAGTTGGAATCCCATCTAGCTTAACAATGACAGCCCGAGTTAGGGTTTCTGAACCAGCTAACTCTTACCTTCTACAGAAGCACTCGCTTACTTTAATTGGGAGAGTCACCAACCCATCTGCGCAGAAAGTATGGTCTATGGTTAGCAAGAAACAATTACATCTTTAACAACAAAGAGTCTTCACCAAGAGACGTTTTTATGAGAGCGGTTTCAACAGCACGTGAAATCATGCATAAACCTGGCCAACCAAGCCACAAAGAAATCATGCATAAACCTTCAGATGCTATCCAAGTTCAAACGGATGCTGCATGGAGAGCGGACAACCATCTAACGGGACTCGGCTGGATTGTTGCAGAAAACGAATCTAAAACCTCCCTGCCACTTCGTCAACTCCCCCTTAGTTGCAGAGGGACTTGCTGTTCGAGAAGCAGTCGCTTTCTGCCTGGAGAAGGGATACCGCAGGATACATGTACAATCCGACTTAACCACCTCGTTAAAGCTCTCACTACTGGTTCTCTAGTTGCAGAAATCTATGGAATTGTGGCTGATATATCATGTTTGGCTACTGCTTTTGATTTTATTTCTTTCTCTTGGAT